AATGCAGCTTGATTTACCTGTAATATTATAATAGAAAACTCAATTTATATATTACGTACATCTATACTCGTCTACTAAAATCAAATAAATCAAGAAAATTAAATTTTAATAACCTATTTTGAAAATATTTTATATGTTCTGTGTTACATTCAGAAAAAAAATTGATTGTAAACTAATAAAATTAAAAAATTCGTAAATAAAAGGTAAAATAATATAATTAGATTTACATAATATTATAAAATATTTCTTTCTCACCATGTTTTCAAGATCGGCTCCAGTGAATCCTGTAGTACAACGTGCTAAATAATCCGTATCGATTTCGTGTGTCAATATTCTAGCTAAGTAGAGATCTAATATTTCCTTACGGCCAACATAATCAGGCTTGTTAACATAAATCTCAACATCGAAACGACCAGGGCGCATTAGCGCTTTATCGAGATCCTTACGTCTGTTCGTAGCACCAAGAACTATGACACCTTCATTCTGACGAAAGCTAAAAAAAAAACAAATTTTTAATAAAATAAAATATTTAGAATTAAATTTTGTATCAAAAAAGTTAAAAATTTAATAACTCGTATATTTATCAAAGAATAACTCAAAATATTACAGTGTGTAGACAACTACGTTTAAATCTCAATCAATTCGTAAACTCACCCATCCATTTCAGAAAGTAATTGATTAATTGTCTGATTTGCGTAAGGATGAAGAATTGAGTTCGTCCTTTTTGCACCCACGGAATCGATTTCATCAATGAACACTACACATGGTGCTTTTTCTTTCGCTGCTCCTACGAAGTTGATTAAAGCATTGACATATTTATCACGATTTTAGCAATTCATTCATTATCGCTATTTTTTTCGTAAAATTTTTTTTCTTGTCCGTTGGATTTTATATACTCACTGAATAAATCTCTAACACGTCGGGCACCCTGACCAACGAGGATTTCATCAAATTCAGGACCTGCCACATGGAAGAATGGTACACCGGCTTCTCCAGCAACTGCACGCGCTAACAATGTCTTTCCTGTTCCTGGCGGGCCGACCAACAATACTCCCTTCGGCAACTTTCCACCAAGAGCAGAAAATTTGTCAGGGTTCTTTAAAAATTCTACTACATTCAAAAGCTCTTGCTTTGCCTCATCTACCTATAATTTTTACAAATGTTTAGAGTACTTTAAAAGATATAAATACATAAATTAATTATTAGTTATATTTAGATAAAATAAATTTAATTATATTATATTAATTAATGTTTTAGAAATTATTACTTACTCCTTTAACGTCACTAAATGTGACATGGATATCCTCAGGATCAATTTCAATTCTATGGCTCATGGGAAGTTTGAATATTCCTCCTCCTGGATAGCTGACTGCGCAATATAAATAATTTAGTAAAATTAATAAAAACTTATAATATAATAAAAACAACGTCAATTTTTATACACGTACGATAAAGCCAAATTACAAGAATAATAGTAGAGACAGTTAGTATATTCAGCATGATTTTCAACCACGCATTTGTTCGGCCTCGCATTTGGCGTTGTAACCCAGATTCATATCCTTCTACAAAAGCAATTTTTATTCTCTTCTGTTCGTCTGCTGTTGCCTCAGTATTGTTGAAGATCTGTTTTAGTTTCTCATAATCCGAACCCTTTAGCTCAGGTACTAAACCCTGCAATAATAAAATAAAACAATTAGATTCATATAGAAACTGAATATTGTTACTTATTTGTATAAACATAAATATAGTGTACCACTTGTATATTAGAAGACAGGCCAAGCCATTTTTTTATTCTACTCATGAATGGTGGATTTTGCTCCAGTTCCATTTTTACAGTACGCTGAGATTTAAATGTACGAGTCGACATATGATTGTGTAGCTTCTTGCCATACCATGTATGCAGTAGTCTATGTTGCTGTTTTGACGCTAGATAGACAACAGGTAGAATAATGGGCTCTGTGAACATAGAGCATGGGAAGTCTCTCTTATTCTCGGCAAAACTTAGGCCGGATAAGTAAGACACTCTCCACTTATTATTCTCTTCCAATGGTCTTCTAAATACACTGACAGCTATATTATCTAGCATTAAGTACACCTTATTGTCCCTCATTTTCAACACATTTGATGTGTTTAAACGGTTTAAACTTATCTCTGGTAGCTCGGTACAATTCCTCGCTGCCTAAAACAAATCAAAAGTTCTGTTCTTACATGCATAATTTCTTTTTAAGACAAGCACACACATAACACTGTAATTTTAAAATAAATCTTTATATATTTTTTATTTTGTAATCATTATATCTTATAATTATCTTTCTAATCTATATTCACAATTCTTTTCGTATATAAGCTATAATTAAACAAATAAACTTATGGAAATACCTCTTCAAAACTATCAGGACAAATTACTGTCTCCTCCGCATTTTTTTGTGAGGATTCATCATGTTTCTTGACTTGGACTGAATATGAAGTCGTCCTAGGAGTCGCTGTCAACGCTAGCTGAGTCAGATGGTACAAGACCTAAAATTCAAAGAATATCAAATAGAATAAAAAATTTTATAAACAAGCAATATTTTAAGTAAATCATTAATTTTAATATTTTATAATTGTATCAACAGAATGCTATTTTATAATTATTATACAAACAAAAAATAAAACAAAATAAATAAAAAATATTGTGGTCTAGAGATTAGACTATAATATTCTTATGTATTTTATATAACGTTCTGAAATCAAATCTGATATCCAAATTGTTCCATCATATCATAGTTCTTTTATCAACAAAACATAGTTAGATTTTCCAATACTTTTAATCTACTAGCTTTATATTAACTTTATAAACCGACACATTACTGCTGAACTTTCTCTCTTTTACTTGAACTTATATATGAAAAATCTGTAAGCCATGAATAACTTTAAATATGTAGAAAAATGGAAGTATTTTTTTTAAGAAAAATTATGACATGATGAAACAATTCTAGGCATTGGATTCAATTTCAGAGCATCAAAATATATATAAGAATACTGTATTCTAATCTTTGGATCAAATATTACATTTTATTTTGTGTATCTCTGAGTTATTATAGACATACTAGATCTAATAAATCATAGAAATAAATCTGACAGTATGTGTCGCAGTCACAGCTATCTATCATACACATTTGTAACTTTAAAATAATTTCATATCATACAGATAAAATTAGATAAAGCACACATATAAATTTAATATGAATGTTCATATACATATTTAACAAATGCTCTTGTATACTTATGCAAGGACAGCAAGTCACATGTATATGTGGGAGATAGGCAAAACATGCTGTCAGAAACATGATGTAATTGTAAGACGTTGTGAATGCAAACCTGATTGTGAGATTGAAGAGATATCATAATCGCGAGTCCTGGGACAGGAAAATCGTGCAAATTTGCGTTAAACTACGGACGATCTGGAGTTGGAAGAACGATCGCGCGAAAACGATAGATCACGACCGTTGAAGCGAGATCGAACGCGTACAATCGATCGAGCGGTCCAGGTTGCTTTATCGTGAATCTGTTATGATCTGTTGGGACAGCCACGATATTCCTCGCAGATGTAATCACGTGACCGGTCACTTGGCAATTTATTGGAACATCGAACGCGATTTTTTTTTATAATAAACGAGGACCGACCGTGTTTTGAACACGGAGCCAATTAATGGTTAGCCGTCAAAGGCATGAACTAGAAATTTACAGATTTGCCAAACATATCGATGATGTGGCTACAGTCAAAGCCCGATATTTCAAGTGTCGTACGACAAGGCTTTTCAAGCACGTTGATTGGCTATAGGACAGAGAGATCCGAGAATCTCTCTGTTTTACAGCCAATAAACAGGCTTGAAAAGCCTTGTCGTACGACACATGAAATATCGGCCAAAGTCAACTTGATGCTATAAATGTCAAAACCTTTTTTGATTGGTCAATTAGAGAAATTTTCTCTTCCGATTGGTTAATTAAATGCTTCAAAGTTTTGTAGCCAAGTGAACCGCACCCCGGTAGTATATTATAGAACAAACTTATTATTAATAATACATCTATAAATTTATTCGCGTCACATGTTTCAACTTCAAAGCATAAGGTGTTCTTTTTGGTTAAATTTCTTACACAATTCATCTTTCTTTCTTTGGAAGAAAGATTGTTTTCCTACCCATTGGAGAGGAAAAGAGAAAAGATGGACCATGCACAAAAATTCAGCTAAAAAGAACAGACCTATACATACATTACGTTCGATTTGAATGTTTAGCACTTATATTCTTATTGGCGTTAAATGATAAAGACAGAATGATAATTATAAGCGTTTAAAACACGCATGTGATAGTTCAAATCAAGCGCAGCCATGGAGTTAGCTCATGATTCCAAAGTGTGTCCAAGATATGTGTGTGTGTGTGTGTGTGTGTGAGAGAGAAAGAGAGAGAGAGAGAAAGAGAGAGAGAGAGAGGAAGATATATAGAAAGATGCGTGTAAGAAGGACAGATACATATGGAACATTCGTTCTCTCTGCGCATGATTTAATTTGTAAGTAAATATATATGAAACAATTTTTGTCCATATATATATTATACAATTAAAATTTTACTACATACTTCGAATTAATGAGATAAAATTCAGGTTAGAGAATTATTTTATATGCAGTTATACTACATACAAAATAATCTTTGAACATATATATTATATATACATATACTTAACCTATGCTCTAAAAATTTAATTATACATACAATATTGACTTTTGTATCACAAATCATAAAATTAAGTCACTTTCATTCATGTTTTTGTTTTCTCTCTCTCACTTCTCTCTTCCCTTAAAATTTTAAAACTATAAAATTTTTATAAATATAAAGATGTCTCGATGCGAGGGTGGCTTGCGGGTGAACTGCGAATCGGCTTCGCAATTCGCCGTCCAATCGGTCCAATGCGATGTGGAGCATCTACGAAGTTTTCTCACAGTTCGTGGACGTGCACGCGGTGTTTGTGTAGCAGGTTACGCTGCGCTCTCCGCGAAATGACGTTTGTTGCTAAATATTGGTCGCACCGGAGCAAGCAGTAAACCGCCTTGGTATCCACTGCCGTAGTCTCTCCCTACGTCGAAGATCAGGTACGAGTGCGAAAGCATCTACGACGGTCCGTCCGTCTGTCCGTACACACACCGAGGGCACCGTTGTGCGCCGGACTGAACCCTCGCGACTGCGACAGGAACGAGCGAACGCGGTGGTGAGGTTAGGACGTGTGAAAGTTGAGCCGAAGGAGTCGACGTGCGAGCAGCCGATGCTGACTCCTCGACCGAGCGAAGGTAATTCGCGGACGGCCGTCGCGTCTAGCCCGGTCGGCGCGTCGCGACGTCGCACGGCGCCGCTGGGCGCCGCATAGCACGCGCGTGTCTGGACGTCGCGTCGCGACACCGTCGCCGCCACTGCACGTTACCGCGAGCTGCCAGACCTAACCTCTCCTCGCTAATCGTTCGTTCTCCTCACGCTGTCGCTCGTTTTTGCTCACCTGCATGCGTCACTTCGCCTTATCGAATTCACCCCCGTCGTCCTGTTCCTCGTACGAATTTGCCTCCACGCGGGCCGACCACGACGACGCCTCCTGCTTGTTTACCACTACTTTCCCCTTCCCGACAGTAGAACGTCCCTCGCGTCATTCGCTAATCGTGGATGAGACAGACGTAAATTAGCCTCGTCGAGCACGCACGAGATACCATGAGTCTGACGAAAAACGTGTATTAGTTGTGTAGTCACACTAGTGATCATCGTGGTGATTGTAATGGCGATTTGATTGTGTATCTGATGGTGAATGATTCTCGTAAATAAACTTGATTATCAGTAGTTTATATTTGTTGCTTATTTCTCGAAGGGATGATGAACCAGTTTTTGTTGTGACTCCTGGATGCTTTTATGCTGGCTGCGGAAAAATTTACGGATGTAACATCCGATATATGTCTTTTATAAAGATTGTTAGATAAAATGCACCAAAACGGTGAGTGTGTAAACATGTGCGTCTATTCGACGATTTTTGAACGATGGATTAACATTTAATTCTGTTTCGTTTCTTGCATTATTATTTAACATTTTTATTTTAAGACGCATTATAGACGCATGGATAGTTCGTTAATTTAACTTGATTTAATTATGACACACAATAGAAAATTCAAGCTTATGATATATCCATGCACATAGTGCAGAAATTTGGAACTTGTATACAAAAAGTCTAATTTATGTAATAAATACACATTTAGGCATTGCCAAGTGTCTTAAAAATTTGTAATTTCAACATGTTGAGACATTACAAATAAAAAATGCATATGTTTAATAAATGGGATATTAATTTTGATTAAATAAATATAACATTCATTTAACACATATAAAGCAAAAATACATGATGTATTTAAAATACATTTTTAATTAAAGATACTTTTCTTATTTCATCTGTTGTAGTTCTATATTTGTCATATTTTCTTTTTTCTTTCTATTTGCAATGTCTGAATATAGATATTGTTTTTTTCCACTCCAATTTCTGAACTGGTGTACATTGGTGTAATAAGTTAGAGTAAAATAAATATAATTTCTTTCATTCTAACTTATTGTATTGATTTTGAACTTGTATTTATTCTGAAAAGAACAAGCTAAAAGTATCTTTCTCAAATCTAAAAAAAAGTTCAGAAAAATGCAAAGCAAATTATTTTATATCTGGAACATATTTATTTTAAAATAGTAAATATTTTTTGAGATTTTTATTAATTAGTAACATAATTGTAATCATAATTAACTTATTTGAAAGCCATATTTTTTTATGTATAGAATTTTATTTCACGCACTGACCTAAAAATTGATACTAGAATCATCACAAGAATTATGATAGTATTTTGGGTAACAATATTAAATTTATTTAGTAACTTAATATTTAGAAAGTATATATTAAAAATGTGAAGAAACTGTTTATTATTTAAAGAAACTTTATTATTAAGATTATTTTATTTTTTTGTCAAATTTCTAAAAAAAAGTTCTTAAAATATTAAATGATTGTATTATTTCTGTATTCAATTTTTTATAGCACATTTTAATTACAATACTTGTCATAGGAATCAATCTCATCTTACACATATATTTAAATTATAGATTTAGTATTATATTATGTAATTTTTAACATCACACACACACACACACAGTTGCATTATATTTATATGAGTAATATATCTGATGGATATTTCTTTCAGAATATGAACGATTATTACCGCATCAGATATGACATTAAGTGGCATCAGTAATCAGAAGTTACAATGATTGGTACAACCAATTGGACTTTAGAAGATGCGTGTCGGCAGGCTCAGGTGCGTGACACGATTTTCAAACTGAAATTCTTTGATGCAAAATTTTTAACTATAATTTATTTATTATTAAAAAGAACGATTTTGAGAGATTTGTGTATAGATCTTGTATATATCGATAAAATTGTCATTTTATTATTATATATTCATCCTTTTGTTTATGCAGGAGATGATTAATATAGTATCAAGATGTCGGAAGTATACCCAAGGTCAAAATTCATTGGCCTTAACATCGGATAAATCATTATCCTCTCAGAAAAAAGAGCAGAGTTACTCCAGGCATAGTATCCAATCTAAACTTACCAGACTGTATTTTGAAGAACTTTCTAAAGTTCCTCATGCAACCCCAGATTCAGTTTTGGTATGTTCACTTTTGAAACATTCGTTACTTAAATTTTTGCTTATTTTTTAACAAAAATACCGCAATGGGATAGTGCATTATATTTTTATGCAATATGCTGCTTTATTTTAAATATTACAGAACAATCTTGAAAATGAGTGTGATCTTTTGGGGCGGTTAGTGCAAAGGGAAGGTTTAAATACATTAATTGTTAATCTTTATGCTGGTAATAAAGGATACTCATTAGCTGTAAGAAATAGGTAAGTATCTGTTTTGTCATGCTAATTATCTTTTTAAATGATTTGAAATTCTGGCTAACAATGTGATAGTATCTATTTAACTTTTTAAACTTAATGATAATAGACTAATAATTCTATTAACTACATTTATAAATCATATTATTAACAAAAATTTTTCAGTACTTTTTGCGTAAAAATGAATATGATTATTAATTTAAACATTACTTTTGACTCTTTTGGTTATTCATTTTCAGTATCAAATTAGTGTGTTCGTTTCTTTCTCTATGCCATAAAAATTATAATATTAAAATTAAAAAATTTTAAACATTATAATTTTTGTTGGATTTAAAGCGGTTTGAGAGACATTAGAGAAGTAAAATGCTTCTTTACATATTAATTTATTAAAATTATTATTTGTTCTTTAATTTTAGAATTAAGTTTTATTATTAATACAGAGATTCTATTTCTTGATAGTGATAAGGGGAATCAGTACGATAAAAATTCATTAGCTGAGACTCAACTCATGGGTTACGAACAGGGTGAGCTACTTTCGTGCATAGATAATGGCCAATTGCCAGCTATGCTAGCCGAACAACTGGAATCTAGTTATTCACATTTATTTTATGACGGCTGCATAATTGCTGAAGTTCGAGATTATCGAAGATCATTTCCTCACAATAGAGCTGACGTTCATCATGTACTTCTTAAACCTACTACACAGGTGAGATCTTGTCATCAAAGATATTCATTAAATAAAAACAATAATATAAATAACAATAAAAGGATATTAATGATTTTTATTATAAACAAAATATATTATTTACAATGCGCAATTATGCTTCAAATTAATTTATCGATTGAAGTCTATTCAATTATATTCAATATAATTTTTGAATAGGATTTAAATTAAATTGTGAATTATTGTTTATAGAGCGTACTTTCGGACGTATCGACACTTACAAGTGACGGAGATTGGAGCCATGAAGAGCGGTTAATGTTGGAATCACATCTAGTGGCAGCTACTCAAGGTCCTCTATGTCTAGATCCGAATCCTGTCCCCACTTTAGCTAGTACAAGAATTAAGCAGTCTAAATCATTGCTTACTGATCATCAACTCATGCGACAAGCTAAAAAATTCTCTCAGGTAATATTTTAGTTTGAAACTTATTTATGTTGTAAAAAATTTTATAGAAAATAAGTGTTTCATAGAAAGTTAGATTTTTATATGTATAAAATGCACAAAAGATTTAATTTTACATTATATAAATTTAATTCTACACACAAAGGATATTTCTATTTCTAAATCACAATACTTTTATTTAATTAATATGCATATATTGCTTATTATGCGGATTTTATTTACACATAGCGATAAATATCATAAAAACATTGTGTGCTTAATATCAGGTCACAGTAAATCGAAAAAGAAAACTAGAACAGTTGGCTCAACCAGAAGGACAAACAATACATGATGTAATATTGAAATTCCGTACGAAAAGAAGAGGATTAGCAACCAATACTGCCTGTCCACCGCCTTCTCTTACAAACCCTCCTCTGCTTCCACCGTCTTCAACAATCGATGTTTTAAGGTACTTCGCATGATTTTTCTTTATACTTTTATTTGCATTATTTGTAATTACTTAACATTTTATTCTTTTATGACCTTTTACCATGAAACATCCACAAAATTAATTAACAATGGGTTTTGATTAGATTCGCGAAAATATACGAACGGCCACGAGAATCAAAAGACTGTTCGCCGCAAGTCGTAGAAGAATATATATTAGAACCTGCGGAAAGTCAGGATTATATAAAGCTCTCGATCCTGCAAAGACCCGCTACTTCCGAGTACCTGGGAGAACTTTATATGGACAAGAATCATCAAGATGGAGAGAGGAATGGTTCTTCTTGCCGGTACGACAATAATAATAGTAGTTTGTTCATCTGTACCAATAATAACGCATTATTGCTACAGACTACTAAACTGTATTTTTACGCAAAATATAATTATTTACTATATAATATTATTAATAAATTTCTAATATTAAATTTATTTTCTAGATTTCCATTGGGTACCAGAGCTGTGGTTAATCATTACTATCAGCAATTTAAAGAAATATTTACTGAAGAAGGTAGGAAAAATGTGAGAATAAAACATATTGTACCAGGGCAGGCTCCTCGTATTGCATGTACACCAGGCATGCAACGAGCCCATCAACAGGTGTGTTAATCTCATCTTTTTTTTCATTCAATGCCAACCATTTTATTTTTATTATTTGACTATTTTTACTAAATTTTTTATTACTATTTTAGGCGCAACAGGCAAAAGCAGCGCAATTAGCTCAACAGTTACAGCAAGCTCAGTCTCAACACTCTCAACATGTAGCACAACAGGTTTGTAAGCGCAGTCTATTTTTCTTTTTATATGGAAATAAAGGAGTTATCAGTAAGATTCTTGATGCAAAAAAATACAAAAAGATATAAATACATTTATGTTACAATCTCATAACAATCATGCACACATTTTCAGCAAATCCGCGCGTCATTTCAGATTCTATCACGGGCTCAAGGACAGCTAACTAATTTAGCCAGTCAAGTAGCTTCAATGAAGGCTATGACAGAAGCCACTACCTCTGCACAAAATAATCTTGCATGCGTGGACTCGGCAAATATGCCGCAAGTTATCCCACAAAATGACGTTACCACATTGAGCTCAGCGCAATCTTTGGCCAATGGTGGCCCTAACGCGTCGACCTCGGTGCAAATTGATAATCCTGCAATGGCAGTAGCAGATAACACCTGTAATGGTTCTGGTATTCTGGTCTTTCAGAAGTCGGCTGGTACTATTAATAACGCGGCACCCACCAATGTTCCAGTTTTGGTGAATTTCTATATTTATTTCATAACAGATATTAAATTTGATGATATACGACAACTCAAACGCATTAAATATAAGATTATTTATTTTAAATATAAGATTAAGTAATCCTGCATTTAATATTTGCAGCAAGCGCAATTACAAGCAGGAACACAGAACTGCATAGGTGAGACTGTCAATCAGAGCCAAAGTGAGCCACCGTTCAAAAAACATTCGAATAATCCAGCAATAAACGCTCTTGTTACTTCCCTCATGAACTCCGCACAGCAATTCCAACAACAAGCTGCAGGTTTGCTATCGCTCCACAAATATATCTTTACATTATTTGAGATCATATAATTCTGTTATATGCTTGTCTATTCGAAATATTGATGTTGTATTTTACGTATTTGTAGCCAATGCTGCAGCTGCAGCTATGAATAACAATACACAAGCTACAAACAAATCCAACAACGCTGCGATCCTTAGTTTATTAAACAGTACCCCTGCAAATATAGCTCAACGTAAGGTTCAATCCCAACGGATCTCTCTTAATGCTTCCATACCACCTAGAGTTATCAGTCATGGCAATGTAATCAACGTGCCCAACACCACTGGTCAAGTATGTTTTATTAATTTATTAATAATTGATATTTACAGATTTTATACTTGTACATTTAGTATTGTATATTTTAGTTAATACATATTTATATGTTGCAACATAAAATTAAACATAATTTTAATGAAATTTCTTTAATTGATATATTTAATACTTGTAATATAATTGATAATTAATTATTTGACATAATGATTATTTTGATATGAAGTATATAATATTACGTATATAACTTTTGTTTATTATATTAGGTACGGGTGAGTCTAAGCTCCTCTGCTTTAACGGGACAACTGAGTTGCAAGCAACAACCAGTGAAAGCAACTGCTGTAAGACTTGCGCGAGTCCAGGATCCTACATCTACTCTTGGATTATCTATGCCGGGACTTTCGGCTTTGCTTGCTGGTACAGTATATGTATATCTATAAATTAATGTTGTTTAACAGCAAAAAATATATAGTTTTTATATGTTAATTTATTACAAATTAAAAATCTTTTGATTAAATTATTTCTTGACTAAAATTTCAGTATTAAATTCATAACTCCGCCCATAATCATTTAGCAAATGCTTTCACTTATTCATATAATTTAATGTTTCGAGAATGTTTGAAATATTTATCAAATACAATTTAAACGGTCTTATTCTTCTTCTTTATTTAATTTAATAATAATTTAATTTTTTTTGTTATAGAAAAAAAGAAACATAATTTTGTTTATATGAACACAGGCACACCGTCAGCTGACAATCCGATACCTGGAATGAATTCAACTTCATCGCTGCTCGAACGGCTCACTGCTTCTTCCAATCAGAGTAGCCAACCAGCGAGTCCAATGACCAACCCGACTCCAGCTAACGTCAATCTACAAGGCGTGAACCTCACTAGTCTGCCGAATTCTATCAACGGTCTACAAAACGTTCAGGTTGTTTAAAATAGCAGTTTATTTTTCTTATACAAGTTAATACAGATTAAAATGAATTAACATATTGTTCATTTCAGGTTTCGTTTCCAGGCTTATCACAACCTATTACGATGTCATTGAACGTGTCTCCAACTACTGGTGGAACCGTCACACCTACTGGGGTCATTGTTTCTCTTCCTATATCGTCTGCCACAAATACCTGTACGACTGTATCAAGCGTTAGTATCTTATTTATAAAAATAATTCTTTTGGTGTGTAAAACAATTTAAGGTAAAACTCTCTATGAATAGTAATAAATAAATTGTGTTTATGTATATATATTTATAAATTCTTATATATAAAAGTATTAATTGCATTGAAAGAGTCAATAGCAATATGTAAGATAATAGTCTTCACTCGCACGTGTACGTAGAAAAAAAAATAAAAACATTTTTTAAATAATTCAAGTGCAATCGATTGAGCATACATAGAATTTGGTCGATTTGGCCATATTAAGAACCGATGATCTCTCATTAAGTCCTTGAAAACTCGTTGGCTCACATAAAGGAACACGGTCAATCTTGTACTATACAAAGTCGCTACGTTTGCTTAGCGCTGAGATACTCTCGTGTCTCCAAATATACATAACAAATATATAAATAAGTTTATAAGTAATTTATATTATCTAAACATTACACTATTTTTACAGATGGTAGCTACAACTGTTGTTACAACAGCTATCGCTGGGAGTACGCCAACGGTAGTGATCGCCAATCCTGCCAATGTCAATGCGCATTTATCTTTACCAATCGGTAATATATAATCATATCCTATCATGAATATCATTGATTGGATTGTACGTCTGAATTTAATCTTTCTTAATATTTTACACACATGCACACACGCACACACACATTTTCAAAACATTTATTGTTATATATATATATATATATACAATATTTTTAGATATTTAAAAATTGACCATATATATTTCAGCCCAATTAATACCATCTGGAGTAAAAGGATTGTCGCAGCAAAATAGGAGTAATAACGCAGTGGCTCTTGCACAGGTATTAATTTAATACTCTTGAATACTATATATAATTTTTTTATACATTACATTATATGATAACCATATAATATTCTATAATATTAGAATATATGTAATATTAAGTATAAAAGATAGAATTTTTATATTAATTATTAAAATATACAGTTTAGCATTTTATGCAAGAAATGTATTCATCAACACTTTATACAATACTAATTCACATAACTTTATGTAATCTTAGGGAGGACAAGCAATCCAACTTATTGGATCTCAAAGACAGCGATTTAATCATATGACTCGTCAAGTACAATCAAATCAAGTTAAATCGGCTGTCTTATCGAATCAGTTGGTAACAGTTGCCAAAACAGTAACGGCGAGTCAGTTAATATTGTCTGGTAATAAACAAGTATTAACTCCTATAATGGGTAAGTCAATAATGCCAAACCTATATTCACACATACATGGAGATAAATAAATAAAATTTTTTTCCACATAGTACTTTATGTTTATCAATCAACGACATCTATATAAATCTTTTATTTCGCAGCCGCGACGAAACCTGTGCTTATGGCGTCGCAGACGACACCTTCTTCCCAAGTAGTACCTGTTAATAAACAAACTCTATTGACAAAATCCTTGCATGCTAGGGCTTCTACTGGTCAATGCAGCCAACAGACGCAAAGTCTCGGTGTGACTACTTTATCGCAACAACAAGTATGTTTTAATTAAGAGAAACTAAACTTTTTTAAGTATGTTCAGTAATATTGTTTTATTATTAAATTAAAAAATTAATTTCCTTTGCATAAGAGCTAAGAAATGATTATTTTTATTTTACAGCTTCAGCAGTTACTGGCTGCACAGCATAAAGTTACCGTCGCGGCAGGAAGTTCTCAAAATAGGACGCAAATTGAAGCTCAGAGAAATTCTACGTCTGCCCCGGGGGAAGACCCCGCCTGAAGATGTTCAAATAAATGATAACGATCATGTTACGTCGAAATAATTGAAGCCCGCCCCTGGAAGAAATGTAAAGAGGCATTTGTATATTATATCATAATTATGAATATAAGATTTTAATTTTTGCATATGGAACTTGTATGATAAATTATGTTTTTCTTTTGAATCGTTTATTTAATTACAAACAAATTTTACTCTAGCAACTAATTCATATGTACCGATTGGAAGGTATACAAGATATATAAGAAAATATACAGAATATTTTACCAAATCAGTATTACGTAATATTTATGACCATGTGCAATAAATGCGTTTCTCTTGAATAAATATCTGCCTTAAAATGTTACTTTAGGGAAGGTTTCAATTATTGTATATATAACTTGTGTGTGTATGTATATATATATACACACACACACACACACAAAATATGATTTGTTTTATATTAAAAACATAATAAATATTCCAGTTTTTATTGATCTTTATCCCTATTTTAGCACCAATAGAATCTTGCAATTATAATTCTTGTATTCTTAATCTTTTTTATGAGTATACTGACAAGAACAGTATCAACTTATAAATGTATTTTATTTAATTATATATACGCCAGAGAGACATACTTTATTTAATATATTAAAATTTATTTCATTATTTTCGAATATTTTTCCAAGGATTTTTTCAAAAAACTATCATCTAATTATGATAATATTTATTGGAAACAAGGTGAAGGACAATGAGAGTCAATTCGTAAGTAAACAAAAAAGCGGCTAAGTATTTCATGTATTCTTTTTCTTTAAAAATTCATATTATAATTTTAATGTTTTAATCGCTTTTTTGTTTACTTACGAATTGACTCTCATTGTCCTTTACCTTGTTTTAATTATTATTTTCATATAAAGAGTCCTTCAACTTTAATTTTAAAAAAAATATAAAATATTTTTTTTGGTATTTTTATCATTATATATATATAAATTGATAAGGAGAATATCCATATATAAAACTAAAACACCTAGCAAAACATATAAATAGCATTCTTTTAACATAATGCTATTATACACTGTTCATTGAGTATTTATTATATCCAAATAAATAATCGAAATTGCAAAGTAAAAAATAATCACTAGCATTTAAAAAATACCAAAAATATTTTATTAATACTTATGAAATAGCATTAGAACTCTCTGTTTATAAAATGATATTTTCTTATATATTTTTTTTACAAATAATTCAAAATTTATATCTAACAAAATTTTTTTTTTAATCAATCTATATTTTCGTTATTTTTTATATATATTACATAAACAGAATTAATCTGATTGTCGACTTGAGTCATTTGTTCGCATTTATTCTGCTTATCCTACCTTAAATGAAATAACACAACAATAAGCGTAACCATTCATAGTGTAATCACACCACGTAAGATTTTTATATATTTTACAAAAAGGAAGATTTGTCAAAGAGACTGACTTTTCTTTTATAATACTTCTTTAATCGGATTATTCATAGATGTAACAAATAGGAAAACAGTTTTTATAATCAATAAAAAATTTAACTCTTTAATATCAAAATTGTGTGATATAAATATTTAAAAAAATGCACAATGTTTAAATCTATAATGAGTAAAAAAATATTTGCATATCTATTTGGGATCATTTCATATAGGAACATTTTACAACTATTATTTATATTTTTTATATTATTTTCTGAACAAAATTATTCCAAAGTATAGGCAATTTTCTTTTACACATTATACATTCGGATCTTGTATAAAGTGAAATAAGCATTCTCCAAAAGAGAGATGAATATAAATTTAAATATTAAATATGTACAAAAAACCTATTAGATATAACATGTAATTAAAAGCTAAACTGGTCATGATCAAAATAGTTATTAAATTATGTTTCGTAATGCAATATAAAATTGTATAATCTAAAACAATCAAACCTAACCATATAGGATCACAAAAGATTGTTTATAATCTATTATAAATAATCTATAGCTTTGAGAATATACTATTTTAAAATGTAGAAATTACCTTATGATAATAATTATCCAACGATAATTAACGTTAGGAAGATGATATAACAAATTATCTGACATAATCTCTCTTAAATGTTAAAATATTCTTAAACTATATGTATGTTCTATTTTCACAACCTCCAGATTCGATATGTTTCAACAACTTCTTAAACAACAATAAAATTATGATAGAGGTAGTTGCTATTACAGAGTTTCATTGAAATTTTTCAGAAAACGTTTGCAGATATTTACTACATAAAAATTATAAAAGAGAAATAGTTGTGTCCGTATTCAAAACGCGCTTACAACAATGTTAGCGCTCTAACATGCTGTAGTTTATGCATACTACAGAATTTCAGAGATAGAAGCGCGCTTTCAATAAAAATGCGTTCTGAATACGGACCTGTGTTTTTAGGAGACAAAAGAATCTGGATTGATTCAACATATGCGTATGAATATATAACGAGCGATAAATAATTATAATGAGGATAATTTATACTTTTAATATCCATTTCAAATTTTGAATTAATCTTATCACTGTTAACACATATCTTATAATTAGTTAAAAAAAAATTATGGAAAATCATGAAAGAATTCTAGGAAATTATGCAATGAAGAAACTTTACAATAAGAGAAAGAAAATAATTGTACGTCAGATTATATTGAATACAAAAAATTACTGCTGAAAAGTTAGAAAAACAATTATAAATTTTGTATTCAAATATTGAATACAAAAAAATTAGGAAAACAAAAGTCTAAAATCAGACATGTTTGAACATATACATTCCCTAAAGAAACGTGTCCAACAAATATTAAAGTAAACAAAGAATATCATATCTATTTAAAATAATAAGTTGTTTAATAGAGAAAATATCTTATAGCCCGGAAATATATAACTTTCGGACTCAAGTTTGTCTGTTAAACATATTTTTAAAATTAGCGGTAATTTTTTATAAATCATATAAGCAGAGCATACCATCATGAGATTTTTTTAACTATGGACTAATTAGAGAAACAGTTGTATATATAATAGTTGTAAATAATTTCGAGATAATTTTTTCTTATTAAAAAATAGATTACTATTTTATAGTTAAAAAAATAATCATTTAATCTTTAACACATATCTATATGTATCTATTTCAAATTCATAAAATGATATGTCATTTTCTCTTCTAAAGTTTGATTCACGCGTCATCCTCATTATTTTCAATTGTTCATTATTCATATTGCACTTGTCTCGATATTTTTACTGAAAAAATTGTTTTTTTCTAGAGTTTTTAGAGTCAAAAATATCGATGATTTTAGAACCCCATGTTCCTCAGTCACCAATATATCAGTCTCTTTGTGTGAAACGTATAAATTCACGCAAATGTGCTCATTATTAACGTTGAATTTTCAAATCAGCACACTTGGATTAAGAGAAGAATACTGTTGCATGTCACAGAGACGCTTAAATGCATGTTGCATTATTTTGCCATATATTCGATAATTGTGCTTGTGTATTCAACGCGATTCATCTTAATTATATCTTGCAAGAACATACAGACTGGAATGTACATGTTTATATAGAGTAAAATTAACTTCAATAACGATAAAATATTTTCGATTATAATATTAATTCAGATAATATTATATATTTAAATGTTTTTATGAAAAAGTAACAACAAATAACTTTGTAAAAGGTGTTTTTAAAGTTTTTCAAAATCTTTAATTTATGTTTTTACAAATATTTTACAAAATATTTGTGAAAATATAAATAGAAACACATACGACTGAATTTATCTTAAACATTTATTTTAACAAAATTATAGTTTTATTTGATATATCATACATGAAATAATATTCATGGAAACTTGATGACAATAATAAAAATCATGAATTGATTAATTTTTCCTTTTACAGTTATTGAGAAATTTGTGTTACTTTTCGTTAAATTTTTAAATACATTAAAATATTAAAATATCTACTCATCATCATTCTATAAATTTTTCATGGCTAATTAAATAGCGCACATATGTTCTTGTAAAATATTATCAGATTATCTAACAAGATATATATCTTCAATTATACATGGTAACAATAACAATAACAATTAAGCTATATCTTATTTCTATAGCAAGCTTGTAGCTGGTTGATCTACTTCCGGTCGACTATCCGGAGATTTAGGCACCTCATCTACTTGCTCTAAATCCTTCTCCACTTCCCACTCGCTTTCTGGATCGGAGAATATATTTGCACTATTCAGTATCTCATCTTCTATCGATACATCCGACAAATTCTCCATGCTTTGTAAATTTCCGTCGGTATAAAGAGACTCTGTAGTTACTGCACATATTTTCCAAAATTTCAATGAAAAATTAACTTAAACTAACAATTAAAATTAGATAATTGAATTGAATATTAAAATATTAATCATGAATCTGTATCGTTGCTGTTTCTTATGAAAAGAAAATGCTAATTACCGTCATTAAGTGTATGCTGAGATAACCATGAAGGTTCATCCCAGTCATCGAATTGGAGTTTTTTATTGGTGTCGACTTCGTCCATGGAAAGCATGGTATGTGATTCTGATTCCGTTACATCAAAGATTTCCGTCACTTGCACTTTATTGTTATCATCCATGTAATAATACGCTATTACTGCATCTTGGTCTGAAGTTGCCTGGTAAAAGTTACAGGAATCGACGTAAAAAATTAGTTTTAAAATCTATTTAAACTGTGTTTTAAACATTATACTATTATTCTCTTATTACTCACTTGGAGAATATTTTCAAAAGTATCATCTACTGATGTAAGATCGCCCATATTTATCACACAACTCGATTTTCTTGAATCTTTCCATTGCCCACTATAACGAAAAATGTTTTTTTAACAATAGTAACATTAATTCTAAAATTAGCTAAACCTAATTCTTCTTTAAATTTAAAAAAAAAATTCTTTTCAATAAAATGACTTACCATTCGTTGTATTGGAGAGTTAAATTCAGGTTCTTTTGTTTTTTATATAAATCTACTTCTTCTATAGCTTGTACATCATACGTGTCTGTAAACATTGGAAAATATAAGAATCACTGTCAAATAGTTTAGACCATATTTATATCTTTTCACGTGTGTTACTATTTATAAAACAATTAGATAATAAAAAATATTACTATAATTTTAAAATTCATTAATTTGAAGATTCAGATTATTACAATTCATTGGCCAAAATGTACTCACTCGAATTATATTCCATAATGTTGAAATAACATTTGATTGTTTGAGGCAATGGCTCAGCATAGACATTAATTTTCGGGAACATTATACTCAACTGCTCCAAGAAAAATTTACTTAGCTCCATTAAGTTATGCCGTAGGTTCGGGACGCTCGTAATGAGTCTGAAATAAGAAAGATGCGTTTCATTAATTTCAAAGCAAATATTATTATAAAATATTACAAGTATTTATTAAAAACAAACATCTGTCCGTCTATACTTTCGTTTACTACTTTTTAATCTTCTGCACCTCTATAAAGTTCGCAACTAATATAAAAATTCATACGCGCGTATTAAAGTACTTTTATAAAAGAAACTGGACTCAATATGTGTGTCGTAATATATTTACAATTGAAAATAAGACAGCGAGTGCTTTGATAGATACAACTTAACTTCATAGATACACCTTAGGGTATGACAAAATAAAGAAAGCATTACATCTGAAAATTTTATGCTTACCGAGAGTGTGTTAAATGCTTATTGTGAGTAAGTGCCTGTTGCGGGATATGCAGAACATTTCCGACTACTTTGTATTCCAAGGTACGAGTTTCTATCTTGTTACCAATCAGACTACCAATGACATGCATGACGTTAAATACAATATCACAAGCGGTAATTATGCATGAAAATTGCACCGATTGACTGAATCTGTGATATGTACCAACGTTGACAATGTTGCGCATGCAATGCAATGCAATAGAATATAATAAAACAAAATTTAAGGTGAGATTCCTGTCTAGAGGATTAAAAAATTACCTATCATTGCAATCTCTTAAACTTCAAAATCTTCAAACAATATATAAAATATTCAAAATAGTGAAATCTATATAAAATAATGAAATCAGCGATATTTTATTCAATTTCAATATAGATAACACAATCGTAATAGTGATATTTTTATATAGATTACAAATTTCTTTGTTTAATTAAAATGAGATGAGATTCTTTAATTATATGTTGTCAAAAAATGTTTTTCGAAACGGAGTATAACAATTTTTATTTAAAAATTATAAGTCTCTATACACTATATATATAATACTCTATACACTAAAGAAATATTTACTACAAAATTTTGAACACGAAAACAAATATATATATATATATAAAATCTCAAATTTTATGTTCGTTTTTTTAAACCAAAAATATTTGCTTCAAAAATCATCTTCTAGACAGAAATATTCTTTCATGATTGATCTGTAATATTTAATAATATTGTATTAAAAAATATTAATTTACAAAGTAAATATATATTTAATTGCAGCATGCAACACCAACGAAAAGCATTAAACATGATACTTATTTATATATGCACGTGCATTTGTATAAAAACCATTTCCTATGTGAAGTATATATGTGATGCAATATTTACAAGCATATATATTTCAATAGCTACTTACTTTGTAATTGTAGCGTACATTACATCTGCCGGTAGCGTGCAAGGCAAACTTAACAATGACAGCAACTTCATGCTACGATGCTTAAACAACCAGTTAACAAGTCCTTTGTTGGCCGAGTCTATAGCGTCTTGGAATATTGTCATCACAGTCTCAGGCATATTAGCTACTAATGCTTCCTGAAAATGAAATATCAAGAATAAAATAAGGATAATTTAAGGTTTAAGAAAAGTAATATATAACTAAGAAATTGAGTTTTTAAATTAAATTTTTTTAAACTTAATGAAATATTATCAAATATATTGCTGAAAGTACTGCTGAATCTCTCTGACCTGTCTATGCATTTTACATTCCAAACATTCCGGATCATATTCCATACTATCGTCAATCGTTTCTTGAACTATGTATGTCGACTGAACTGCGAGACACCTTGTGCAATTCAATAGATTATTACGATGTAAAAATTGTAACGCATCGTCGAATCCTTGCTTACACATACTCGAGAGTATCTGTAATTTAAAAGTACATCAAATTATACATTTAATATATTTATTATTACATTTAAGGTATTTAACGCAATATCTTTACCTCCGTTTTAGGCGGAAAGAGTATTTTCGTAAACCTATATATATTTTGTCTGGAAAGTTCTATGCTTGTATTAGCGACATTGACCTGCAAGATACAAGGATATGTATAATTAATGATAATTATAAAATCTAACTAGGATTAACCAGATGAGCGTACGTTCGTTAATTTAATTACATGTATTATCGAAGATATTTTAATTTCTTTAACGAGGAATTAGTTTATTAATACGCGTGAATACGTACGTGAAAAAGTTGAGATGAGATGTCCCTCGGACAGATATCACTCTCTCCGCAGAACGGACTAACGGTAATAGTATTTTCATCCAGCGTAGGAAGATTATCGCTGAAACCACCGTCCATATATCTGATGCCATGGAATCGCGGTGGCAGCAAACCAGAAAATAATGGTACGAATGAAGTGGCTAATAGTGCCTGTAGGAAACCGAAAAAAAAAGAGACTAAATGACCCTTCAGGAGAACAAAAATTGTTACAATTGAAACAGACTTTCAAATTTGTGCACACAAACTTTTCTTAAAAAAAGACAGAAAATTATTTTCCAAGATATTTTCTCATATCTTGATCCTTCGTTTTATCGAGAATTTATCGTGAATAAATCTCTCACAAGCTAATACGTGCTTTTCTTACCTGCAGCAAATCTTCCTTTGAGTTGAATTGAGAGACGATCACGTTTTTACCGTCATAGACTCTGGTTAAAGAGATATGCAATTTTCCGTTAACACGGATATGTGCATCGTCTGGTAAAAACTGGAATAAGAGTAAGAGTAAAATAGCTGTAAACGTAACATGCCTCTTTATTATTAGAAATCTGAATTTTAGGAAGAAATTTATATAATGGATCTGTTAGCATTGCTTGCACTTCTTACAATTATTTTCCATATCTTCGCTTTTTTTTTTTTTTTCAAAGAACGCGTTTACAACGATATTAATTAGCGCTCTAACATGCTATAGTTTACGTTACGCATACTATAGAATTTCAGAGATAAAAGCGTCATGCTTTTATCAATAAAAACGCGTTCTGAATACGGACCTGTGAATATACATTTCTTCAGTAAAAATTGCCAGAGTGTATAATTATGAAATACGGTCGTACAAAATTTAATAATGTATAATTATGCTATTATTTCCAATAATCGAATCGAAAGGAATTTAGTTTGCAAAGTTCTCGACCTTCATTTCGCATGCAATGTTAGGTAAAATCCAGGAATTATATTCAGTATCAATAAAAAATTTTTCATGCATAAATATATAATATATTATTAAAGTACATAAATATGTATAGTGTATACATATTCATATAAAATATATCCATACGGTCTCTGTGAAGTTAGCACCTCAACTTTAAAAATCGGAAATTTTAATAACAGTACTGCTTGTACCCGCAATAGTTCTTGAGTTCCTGATAGGTTTCATCAATAGTACTGTTGATTTAGGCCAAAAATTTTTAAAAATAAAAATATGCGGTGCTAACTTCGCGTGGCACCGCAAGATTTGAAAAAGCCGATTTTTATGACGGAATCTCACAGTACTCGAAAAGTACTACAGTTCCTAATCGATTATAACAATAGTACCGGCCATTGAATACTTTTAAATAAATTTTTAAAAAAAGAGCTCGCACCTCAACTTTCAAAAAAATTACTTTTTAGTATAATATAAAAGTTTGGAGTAAAAAAATTGCTCATGCATAATTATGTAAAATTCATATATATATTTGAATATGAGAGCAATATTTTACATTTTTCCAAACCTGACTTTTTCTAAAATAAATAATGTGAAAATTATACTTTCAATTATTTTTAATGTTTTCTCATTATTATTATTTTTTTTATTACACTAAAAAGTTATTTTACAAAAAAAGAATATATGGACATGGATAAACATATTTTATATAATTATATATATGTATATGTTTATGAATATTTATATATATTTGTACACATGTTTATACATATTTATATATGTATATGCATGGATAAAAAATTTTCACCGGTTGATGGAACCAGAATGGTCAGACTGCCAGATGCAAAATCTAATATGGAGAATGTCATAATTTTTTATTCCACTCACCTTCCGCAAGCCGTCTAGTAATATGTTTTGTACATTGAAGGATGGACTGAACGGTCCAAGCGTATGTTGTCGTGCTTCACGTGCCACACGTAATACATTGCTCGTCATTTCACCTAAAAAGAGAGAAAGAACGATCATGAATCAGAGCAGGACCAATCTGGAACTGTTACTCGCAAATTTGCCACCGATACATTATTAGAATTCGATCGATGATGATAAATTCATCCATATATTTGCGATACTTAATAGAAAAACAGCATAAATCATCGAGTGAAGTTGTCAGATAAAAATATTCGAAAGTAGGTATAACGGAACAAAATGTAATACAAACTCCCGTTATTAATCACGTTATGAACACACGAACAATTTCTTTATATAGTATATATAAAAATAAAATTATTTAATCAAATATATTAAAAGATTTATGGCCGATATTCATAATCAGTTCTATAATATTTTAAGAGAGTTTTATATTGTCCGAAGAAATACATTCGCTTGTATACGCGAAAAGATCATTTTGAAATTTATACAAAATTTATAATATGTGTTATACATCAAGTAATATATTTTGAAAATATACCTAATAATTATAAATGTGCAAGAGAATCTTATAAGTAATATCTAAAGATGCAAATATGGCTTTGTAGTTAATGATATTTTAAAACTAAAGACGATTTAAATTAAAGTATAAAGAACCGACTTATGTATATTCAACATGAAGTCACAGATAATTAATATCATTTTTTTTTTAGAGATACAAATTCGTGTATAATTTGCAAATATGTAAATTTGTACATTGATATTTATTTATATGAGAAAGATTATCTAATTATGTACATAAATATTTTAGATATATAAAATTAAAATATGTCTGTATATATATTTGTCATGATATCTATTCGAATGCTCGTAATCTTTCTTGCGATGGAAAAGGAGAACAATGAATCACGCAATACTGGATTAATGATAAGATATTTACAAAATACTAAGTGGCATTGTCTTCAATAAAATATTGGATAAAAGATTTCAAGAGTATCGTATTCAAAGTTTAATTACACGAATTAAGTGCGTGTGTATAAATTTTATATATTTTCATTACAAATAGATTTATACTTCATCAAAGTTATCAAGTCTTATTGTAGTATCTAGAGAATTGATCTAACAAATGAGTATTATAATTAATTAAAAAATCATATCTCTCACAACTCGCTTATCTCAATTAATTTTATTCTTGTTAAATATTTTATTGAGACTCTTAATTAACTGCTATGAAAATGCTGCAATTCATGATTCATACTCGATGATCAACAACGTTCCTATCACTAATGAGATATTCGCTCTCTATTCATTTATTGATCTTTTTAAACAACAGGAATTTTTTTATAAGATATCGGTATTAGTGCTTTGTGTGTGTGTGTGTGTGTGACACAATCATCAAAAAATCTTAAGTTTTAGAATTAATGTAAAAATACAACACGAGTCGTAGTTTTTTCTTTGAATATCCATGGCATAAGCGAAATACAAAAGCAAAGTTTTAAACTGTTAATATCGCACAATGTCGATGTTACATAAAATAAGTCGCACGATATCGAAAAATACTCAAAGATGCGAAATATACTGTTTTTCAAAATTATCGCATGATATCGCGATGTTTATGATAAACTAATAATAAGATAAATATAGATGCATGCGTCTATTTTAAAAACTTTACGCACGTCCTTTTATCTCTTTGGCATTAGCTTCAAGCCTAATTCGGAGCTGAACCTACGTCAAAGATGAAGGAAAAAAAAGCGATAAGAGAAGAGGAAAGATATCGTTGCGCGTGTATCATCTTCCGATCAACCACGCGATATTTCTTGTATGATCTCTGTGATCCTTAGGAAATTATCTATTGCAAACATCGCGAAATGACGTATAATGAAACATTCTGCAGTGACGCCTACGGGGGGTATTTCGTCGTTTATAATTATGTCAGAAGGTTAAAATTGTTTTTGTACAAGATATTTCAAAAAAAAACTGCAAATTATTTTAATATAAAAAATTAATATAAGAGCTAAAAATTAACAAAAAATTCCTAAGGATCACAGAGATCAGAAATATCGCGTGATCGATCGGAAGATAATATGCGCAAATACAAGAGTTGAAAATTGACAAAAAATATTTTTTTTGTGCGATAAGATTTAAATCTACAAGAAAGACAATACAATAATAATAATACGGTCTTAGTTTAAAAGAAAAAAGTAAATCTGAAAGGATAATTTTCTTCGAGCTCAATTTTTATTTATTTTTCTATATATTCTCATATGACAGAGGTATATCATTCAATCACTACATGACTCTAAAATTGTAACTTTTAAGTTATCTGCAAAAAAAAAAAGATAATTTCGATAAAAATTTAATATCTTAAGTGAAGAACTTAAATAATATTTCTCTATAATTTTTTTCTTTTATCTTTTTACAATTAATAAACCAAATCATTACATCAAAATTGCATTAAAAAAGATACTATAAAATTTTAGTGATTTAAAATGATTCAAAACATTCAAACTGAAAATTTTTTTTATAGTTTTCATCTTGTTATTGTAACAAATGAGCGTTTTAAACATTTCCGGTTTGAATATGAATAATTTACAAATAAGCACTCGTGAATTTTCAAATTTCGCTGCCTATGCAATAGCCGTTGCACACGCTGCAAATCTCGAAGAGATAAGCACGTGCATCTATGTTAAGGTTCGCGTAATGTTTACGTTCGGCCAGGCGCGCGCGCGCTTGATCTTGGAGCCGAAAAAGAAAAGAAGTCTCTGATAGAGAGATTATTAATTCGGATTTCTCAATTCCTACGTGACGTCATACGGACCAATTAGGAGACGATTACCGAACGACGAGGAGAAACAAGTAGCCCACGAACGAGAGAAGGAGAGAAATAAAATAGTTACGAAAGGGTTATCAGATGATGTGCGCAAATGTTAGGGAGTCAGCCGGGAGTCAGCATGAGCTGATGTAAACGTCAGCGTATCCGATACGCAGCTTAAACGATAGATAGGAAACAGCATAGCTTTGTTCGCCGTATCTCTCATACCCGGTCGTAGAGATATGGACGAGAGCTGACATCACGTGTCGGAAAATCGTTCGCGGTTCTACGCCGCACGATCATTATGCGTCCGTAGCGCAGAAAGATCAAGGAGAAACGATGACCAGACTTCAGCCAGCATCCAGATGCTGGATGAAATTTCTTTCTCAAAGACCGAGACAAAAACCAAAATGTTATAAATAATAACAAAGTCACTCGTTTCTAGAAAAAAAAAGCTGATATTCACAATCTATTCTTATTTCAAAACCATCTTAAGTTAATATTTTATGATGTAGCTTTGTGATCAGTATTCATATTATAGGCTGATATATTAATAACCGCAATTCTTATTTTAAAATATTGTCTTAAGATGATAATACATTGTCAGATATCAAAGGAGCAATAGTAAAACCCTAAATACAATGCGATCGAGGCAACAGTGATAGCGATAAAAATAACAATAGCGATAGCGATAGCGATAAAAACAAAGGAATTCAACATTCGAGAATGTTAATTCAATTTATCTATGTCAATGATGGAAACAAGAATACAGAATAAGGATAACGACAAATAAGTATCCGATGAGTTGGAATTTTGTGTCTATCGACATATTGAATAGGAGCTGTTGCGACTTACAGAAATAATTAAAAAAATTGAGTATAATTTAACGTTATGAATTTAACAGTGTAACAGTATGGCTCCGTGATCATTTTAACATCTTAGGACTGTACTTAAAATAGTCTTAAATATAAAAATTGATTATAAATCGGTACTTATTTTAAGACGAATAAAATAATTTAATTGCGATACATATCACATATCAGATTATTGTATTATATGTATAATTTGATAAATTTCTCCTCATATCATTTATATGATATATGATAATATAAAAAATAATATAATTATTCGACATATCGTTAACTAATCTTCTACAATTCTCAAGCAAAAAATCTTTTCAAGCTATTTTTTCGCAAATGAGCAAAAATCAAATATTTTTTTATTCTCAACTCAATCTAATTGGCTGATCGGCTGAGGTTTTAATCCTTGAACATAAATGGCTGAGACATAAATCAAGGAATATTTCCTTATTATGGAAATTCCTATAAAGATATATAGTTCATTGCTTACAATTGTATAGATTCGTATAAAAAATTAGACTACTGCAATGCTGAGTAATTCGACATAAAGAACTATAAAGATTAAAACCCAGTTTTTTATTTTCGAGTTACGCTTTTATGGTTTAGACTTAAGAACCTCTTCACTTAAACTGACAATAAAGATTTGAATTTTTTTATAATTAATCACTAAATTTATGGTTTTGTAATAGTAACTTTAAAAGTTATTCAATACAAAATCATCAGTTTAGCGATTAATCTATACCTAGAAAAATACAATTTTTACATTATCATCAGCTTAAACCTAAGTTCATAAGAAAATAAAAAACTGAGCCTTAATTTATATTTTCTAAAAATCTCGATCTCCATGTTGGAATTGTCGAATCTACAAATCAATTCCAAATATTTATGACATACCTAAAACGAATGTGTTGATATCGAATGCAAATGAGAAAGTTTCAGAGTAACATTTTTCATTCAATTAGCATTCCATTATGCATAAGCACTGTTAACGATTGCATTAAACTCTAATAATGTTGAACATTAAATCGAGCAATTATGAATATGATCATAAATATATTACGTATAAATAACAAAAAATGATAATTTGTGCGTTACGTCATTTGCGCAATGAGGTAACAATCGAAGAATGTTGGAAATGATCTTTGAGATCTTAGAAAGGATGTGCTAATACTTGTAAATTCGCTAACGTCGACAAGAATTAATAAATGATAGATGCATCTTTCATTGAATGCGAATAAAAATCGGGAGATTGAATTATACATTGATGACAATGTATTCGACCTATAAACACGTATTCATCACTGACTAGCCGGAATCATTATTTATACCGGTATCATACTATGGGTCTTATTATAAACTTGCTATATACTCTCTTAATCCGAACTAATTGAACCAGTTATTT